AGATATAAATCAACAACACTTATAAATACAGTAAAATAAAAATGCATTTAGCGTTTATTAAAGTATACTCCACTGCGTGTCATAGCTCCCCACCCATAAAACCCTATAACCACAGTTTTTGTAGGAAAACATGCAGGGAGTAGGGATTAGTGAGTGGGCCTACATAAGCTTTTGTTGCCGACCATGTCCTATAAGTACAACAACCTCTTGTGCATGCGTCGCCCGCTTCTGCTATTGCTTTCTGCTTGTGTGTCTGATGAAGAATCGGCAGCGGATTTGAAACGTCGAGTGAATAAAAGTGTTGTCCAAGCGATCGAATCTTCTTCTCAATGAAAAACTTTCTCATTTGTCTACATTAAACGTTCTCATTGGTCATTATCCGACAGAGGCCTTTGTAAGGGGCTAACATTTGTTGATGGAAAAATGCATCTCCTTCCGACGCAGGTTTTTTGAGAGAATTAGGCACCACAATCTGATCAGCGTCCTTAAGTGTGCAGTATCCACTTGACAACAACCCGAACAGGCAGTTGTACGGAGTAGCTATGGGCTCTCTCCTTGGCTCAATTCTGGTTAATACATTCATGGTCAAGCGGGAAGTTTCGAAATTTCGTAAGCAGATAAATAGTTCGGCATAATACAGGCACTAAGAGGTTGATATATTCGCGGTTGCATCTAAACAGACCAACATTTAAGCTCTAATTCATACTGTAAATCAGGTGCACCCGTCAATATAACCAACACTAGAAGAAGAACAGTCCGGATCGCTCCCATTCTTCTATGTACTTTTAAGCAAAAGGTCTGACGAGAATATTCAACGCAGGGTCTAGCGTAAGGAGACGTGGTCTGGGCAATATACCTATCTTGGCAGTTTCGTTCCGCTAAACTGTAAACCTATTTAAGAACGAGGTTTGACACAAAGGACGAAGAGGATTTGCTCGAGCGGTAGCAACAAAGAAGGGCTTAAGATTGTAGAATGCGTTTTTTTAAAAAAAGGGTTATCCTAGTCGATTTGTGGATACAAAATGGCTGAAAAACCATCAAAGTGCTTGGCATTAACAGTGATAAGAAACGATTTTTCCTCAGGGTTCCATTCCAAGATGACCCGCTAAGCTAACTTTTAAGATTGGATCATCGTGTGGATGTCAGCACGGCTTTCCTAAGGCCCTGGAACTACTTAAGATTCTCTGGAAAGCTACAGACAAAGCGGCTGTCATCAGGCTACGCGGAACGGTCTTGTGCGCCCAAAAGAACTTTGTAACGGTGCTGCGGTTACCATGGCCGAAAGTCGCCAATCCAAACCACCAATCTAGTAATAGTACCAGTACTACCATTACTCAGCTACACTGCTAGTCAGCAGAAGGTTAAATACTAGCAGCAATATCAGACTCGGTCCCCTCAAGTCTTTCCGGACACCTACTAAAGGTGAGAAAGGGAAGGTAATGCAGTAGTACCTACACAAAAGGCTAATGCCTCTTAAGACTAAGTCAGACGGTGGTTCCGGCCTGTATTTGAGAAAATGGCTTACGCCTCAGTCCCGCTCAGTCATCTGGACTCTGTCTTATCACCAGTTCAAACGGGATAAGGACTTAGAGTGCGATAGATGTCTGCACGTCTACTTTCACTATATCTGACTACATTCACATTCCCTGCTTTTTGAGAATATGGTGGACATACTCGAAATCGATAGTAAACCTAGCAGTGTCATCTGCTACTTTTTCTGCTAATGCCTCTGATGAAGAATCCGCGATGGATTTCAAAACGTCACGCGGATAAAACTCTTTTCCCAGCAATCATATCTTCTTTTTCTCCTCACACTTTATGTCTGTCTATATATATTTATTCGAGCAGTTTCAGAATGGCGAGGCTTGTCAATATCTGTGTGTGCGAAAAACTGGTCGTGAGTCTGGAACTTAAGGCCAAACGAAAATTCATCTGTTATAGCTGAAGATTTGGCAACCAGGTACCTTTCCCTGTATGCCATTTTCAACAGTACTTTATGTGCAATAGATAAAGCCTTAGTGGTCGGTTTTGTACATTCTTGGGAGCTGACCTACAACCTGTTGGGCCATTAGTGTGATTAATCGACCGCCGAAACTCCGTTGCCGGATAGTAGGACTGCCCCACATAGATAGGGACGGATTAACCGCTCGGATTGCCAACTGAGCCGGGTCGGGAATGTCCGGTTGAGGGAAGTGAGAGCGGGAGGGGTGTGGGAGTGGAAAAGGCGAACTATATTTCCCACCCCCCCTGTCCAGGCTTTCAACTGGCGATTCTACACAAAGAAATTATACCGCTAACAGTTTTCGTCCCAGCCCCCCTCCCAATTGGCTCGAAAAAGGAGACCATCGCGGGTAGTAACAGACATGCTTCAGAGGCAAAATGACATTTAGGAAGAAAGTGCTCCACCTGCGAAAGTACGACATATACGCAACCGGGTCTGATTAACCAAACTGTGCTTCCACACGAAGACCTTATAACGAGCCAAACATCTTACATTGACCTTGAAAAGGCAAGAATTCAAACCGTTACTGGAAGTTGACGTTGTTTTTTGTCGGATCACCGACAAAGTAAGTCTTTCTGTAGATATTACACATTTGAAGTGCTTGACTTAGCCTAGGTTACGTTACTGAAATATTTCCTTTGAGCTATATTAAAGGCTGGAAGCCTAATGGACCCTGCTTAGGCTGGACTTATGTTTTCTAGCGACAGACGTCATTTTGCCTGCAAAACCTATTTGTAATTAGATTTTAACTGGATTTTATATGGGCCAATCCGGAGATATTTCAGTCACGTCCAGAGACCGGATTTTGAAAGAAATTCCTTCTGCTCCGCCGCAAGATGCATACTCTGGAAAGAATGGCTACTAAACGATATGAAATGTTTCGCTTACAAACTCAAACATATTATCTATTGTACTTAGTTGGGTCCAAAGCTGGCATCCTACAGGGATTCAAATAGCCTGTGATCAGGCTGCATGATAATCGATATTACAACCCTACTAAAGTAATCGTTTCCGAATGAAAACGCATTTAAAGATTTTATTTAGCATTTCGTGACATTTCGTTACTTGTGTTTCTCTAGGAAGGTAAATTTCAACGCAATAGTTACTTTATTGTCGTTCCGATTTAGCCCCTGTTGTGGTAATGATGATGTCATTTTATATACGCATCCGACCAATAGTCACTTAGAGATAAAGATAATGAAAGCCATTCTCTGAATTGTCGGACTGTGGATATAGTACTCTAGTGAGACTTCGAAAATTAACCATATTGCCCAAGGCTACCTAGTGGATACAATTAGTGCGCGATTTTTTCACCTTCTAGAAGGGTCTCTAAGCGCCTACTCTAAATGCAGTTGGAATTTACAGGCCGACATTTACTAGCCGAACCTACACCAGAAATAAAAGTAAAAGAAAAGAGATATTTACAGAACCAATACCGGCACTCCACTCAACATTTAGGATAGCAGTAATGAATGATTGAATAGGAAAAACGAAACAATTTTCGATGACCTTTAGCATACCCTTTGATATAAAATAATAATTGCAGCTGAGTTGTATCCGAGCAACCTACCCTTCTTATCTGGAAGTTTGTTCGGCATAGAAGCCTCCACTACGACAGGCTCGGCAGTCGTTGACTCAGTTGACGAGAGGCCTCTCGGAGGCGGCAGAGGCTGTGTGGAAGTCTGCTGTTCCGCAGCCTGAAGCAGCAGAGGCCGCGCCCTCACGCCCTGGTACTCACAACTCCAGTTACCAGTACTGTCCAGGGCTTCCATGTTCACAGTATACTTGACGAGGATCGTGGCGGAATTCAGGATGCGGTAGTCACAGGACATCACCACGGCGGCTAGCGTCTCGGGCACTTTGCAAACTGTCGCGCTGCTCTCGCCCTCAAATGTACAGCTGGGCGTGCAATCGAAGTAGCAAATGGAAGTTGGCACCTGAGAGAAGGTGGGGGGTGGAGCATGGTTAATAGCTGTTCTGTAGGCAATTTTCAAACCCTCAGTCAGTGACCGATCTCAGGTATTATTACCTTCCTAATTCTGAAAAGCGTTGTTAGCATTTCGGCAACGACAAGGGAGACTGGATAGTACATTTTGGGCTCATTAGCCGTCGTCGGCCAGTCATACCCAGCCACAAGTAGCGCACTACTCGAGGCTTGATGGCTGACGACGGCTAATAAGCCTCGGTTTATGCAGCACTAGAGTTTGCGTCTGACCGACTGACGAGGGCTAATGAGCCAGAAATGGCCATTCCAGTCTCCCTTGCCTTTGCCAGAAATGCCATCTATCTGGACTACTAGCCACTTTGCAGCTGCTGACGGTGCTCAAGAATAGGCCACAAGGCAGAACAGGACGAATGAGTTCTGAGTTCGGTGGACGGTGGACGGTGATCAATGAGCCTGAATGCGTTTCGATCAGAAAGGACGGTCACAATCGGGCTATAATTCCTGGTTATCATACAACAGAAGCTAACCCGCATGCAGCCTTCCAAGGAAACATAGTTTATATTGCGCTTGGCACACGCGCCAACTTAAAAAATGCACACTGTTAACATAATGGGGAAATGCCCGTTTTTTTTTCACGTCCAAACGGAAGCTTCACCTTCATGGGTGTCAGCACAATTTATAGTCTGTCGGTCCTCTGAAATCATACGTGGCTGTTTTTTACCTTGTACTTGCCTATCAAGAACGCATTTGCAGCCACAACAATGCAGACTATTTACATAACGCGTTACAATCAAAGTCTTTCAGCTTTTATATGCACACCATGTCAGACATTCTAGGCCCTGCAATCATGCATTTAGGAGGTCATTTCCTTTAGCATTACAGTCAGTGAGTGATCCCGTGTAATGTAAACCGCAATTCTGAGATGTATTTTCGAGTAAGCAGGATTACTTTAGTTGGGATGTAAGATAAGTGACCATGTGGCACAGCTATCAACTATTTCAGACAGGCTAAGATGTCGGATTGTGAGTGTATGTCGTTTTGGCCACTTGCGAAAATTCTTATTCGACAAGGATTGACTACATATGCCGCATGCATATTTTCCTTAGTTTTTTAGTCCCTTATAAATTCAAATATATTTGAATATCGGCATCCCAGGGCATATATTATTGTAACAGTGAAGTCCTTTGACAAAAAAATGTTTACTTTGTGAAGTTCCGAGTCTGGTTCCCCAACTTGTCGTCAGCCAAATGAGAGTTTCGCGAAAGCGATCATCTAAAAATATTGATAAGCACAAGATCCTACGTTGGATCAGAATGTAGGGAGATAATCAACACCCGCACTTAATAATGAGGTCGGAGGAGAAAGTGGTTGTCATGCGCGTGTAGTTGTGTGGTCAGGGGGAATTGTCACCCACACTTGATCATGCGGCTGGTGGTGCCTGTCTTTGCTTCCACTTGAACTTGAGATATTTGTATTGGACATCCAAATTGATATGCCTGTTTATGCATGCCTCGTCCGAGTACGTTGCCTCCGGGATTTGCGGTCCTTCCTAGTTGGGCAGGTGCCAACGATTTCGGTTTGTCACCATGCAAATGCGTGTCCTTTGTCCGATGTGCATGACAATCCCCGATAGGTGGTCTCGGCCCTTCACCGATAGCTGGTGTTCATGTATTCGGGCGGATAAGGCTCGTCCAGTTTGACTCAATAAACTGCATCATAACTGGTACACGATATTTTTTAGAGGACGTTCTTTGTGTGAAATGGCCATCACTGTCCTATGGATGTACAAGCTGGGGGAGCAAAGTTGTTGCC